GGGGATATGTATAGTTCCAATGCCAACATTAAAAGCATAGTATTGCACAGTATCACTCCATATACAGAATTGCTCTTCACATACTAACAATATGGCTGGGTCATCCATTCCTTCAAATGATTGTTTTTTTGTGACTTAGCTGACTAGGAACAATTGCTATGCACTGCATTACAGGTTGTTGCTTATTTCTGGGGTCAACCTGCACAGTTTTCCGAAGTTCACAATTCACAAACCCCAGGGATTCATTGCAAACCCATAGTAGCAGTGAACCTGAACCTCATCCCTACTGTGTATCCCTTTGTGTATGCATGTAACATGTCTTAAACAATTTTGCACTGTCATCCAGAAGGATTATTTAGGGCCAAAATATGAACATTTACATAAATGTAGCTATGCATACAATCTTTTCATTAAGAATTGTCACAATAACTATACTTCTCTGATGTCCCTGTCGCTGCTCATTTAATAGCTCTGAATATTCACTCAGCTGTATGACAGGGAGTAAATCACTATTTATTACTGGCAAATCTGACCACTTTATGCATCTTCCTCATGCATATTAAAAAGTCAATTAGAAATCAAGTGTTCAGAATGGATAATAATTATAAAATATACAAGAGTGTGGCCACTACACAGCCTAGACACAGAATTCTTGGTTGCAAATTTAACCCTTTTAACTTTTATGTTCTGTTTTCCATTTACTTACAGATCTCCAGGGTCTGCAGAATTGTAAGGTGTATCTAAAGCCAAAACATTTCCATTTCAAGAGAAGGTTAAAAACCAGCATAGGCCCAATGACTTTACAGTGCAGAGACACCTCTGTGTCATCCCCTTCCTCCAGCCAGTGCTGTATCTGCTGTACTAGGGGAGTTGTGAAAACAATTTAAGGTATAAGAATATATTTATTTGGTCTGTCATTTATAAGCACATGGTATGCGAGTAGGAGATAATTGTTAAAAGTGGTAAGAAAAAGTCCCGAAATTCTCCTTCAAAGGAAACCTACACTGAGAGAAATATGGTGGTTGCCATTGTTAACCTCCTTGTGAAAATGTTAGTTATTTGGCTGTCATGATGACCCCCTGGCTTTGATGATTTATAAATTTGTAGGGCCTGAGGCTAGGGTACCCAATCTGGGAGAAATCAAACACAGTCCAGGAAGTTGTATAATTTATTGTATATTGTAATAAGGGTTAACAGAGCTACTTGTAGATAGTAAATATAAGCACTAGTAGCAAACTTTAGGATGTTCACCGCAATATACAGTTAGTAAGGGTATTGAAGCAGTGTATTACTCAGCAATGGCACAGTATTGCAGCTGCCTATGACTTGGCAATGGCACAGTTTTACAGCAGCCTATGACTCGGCAATGGCACAGTTTTACAGCAGCCTATGACTCGGCAATAGCACAGTATTACAGCAGCCTATGACTTGGCAATGGCACAGTATTACAGCAGCCTAAGACTCGGCAATGGCAAAGTATTACAGCAGCCTATGACTCGGCAATGGCACAGTATTACAGCAGCCTATGACTTGGCAATGGCACAGTATTACAGCAGCAGCTTATGACTTGGCAATGGCACAGTATTACAGCAGCCTATGACTTGGCAATGGCACAGTATTACAGCAGCCTATGACTCGGCAATGGCACAGTATTACAGCAGCCTATGACTCGGCAATGGCAGGCAGTATTAGTATTACAGCAGCCTATGACTCGGCAATGGCACAGTATTACAGCAGCCTATGACTCGGCAATGGCACAGTATTACAGCAGCCTATGACTCGGCAATGGCACAGTATTACAGCAGCCTATGACTCGGCAATGGCACAGTATTACAGCAGCCTATGACTCGGCAATGGCACAGTATTACAGCAGCCTATGACTCGGCAATGGCACAGTATTACAGCAGCCTATGACTCGGCAATGGCACAGTATTACAGCAGCCTATGACTCGGCAATGGCACAGTATTACAGCAGCCTATGACTCGGCAATGGCACAGTATTACAGCAGCCTATGACTCGGCAATGGCACAGTATTACAGAAGCCTATGACTCGGCAATGGCACAGTATTACAGCAGGCTATGACTCGGCAATGGCACAGTATTACAGCAGCCTATGACTCGGCAATGGCACAGTATTACAGCAGGCTATGACTCGGCAATGGCACAATATTGCAGCAGCCTATGACTTAGCAATGGCACAGTATTGCAGCAGAATATTACTATTACCAGGCCTAACCTATTTACCAGAAGACAGCTTTTTTAGGAGGGGTGGCAAACTGGAGTATAACTTAGCAGCACTCTATGTTGCTGAAGAGGCTCTCCAATTTACTGCTCCAATGTACTGCTCCTACTCAATCAGGAACCTCCCTTGCACTGATAACTCTCTCTGACAAATGGGGTCTTTGTTCCTAACCTATCCACTCACTCCAGGAGTGCCTGAATGCTTGGGCACCCTAATTTATAGAGTCCCACAGGGGGATGGCTGTCAGAGGTCATCAGAAGTTGCAGCGTCCAATCAGACAACTGCAACCTTTGTGACAACTATGGAATATCTCAATGAACAATTTTCTTTAAAGATTCAGCTTCGTCTGTATAGTAGCACATCGCCACCCACTGGATGATAGCCAAATTGCACCTGCTTACAAGTTACTGAACTGGACTAAGTATGCAGGTTAGTTGGCTTCCCAGTGACTTAACTGGTTTCATATTTGAGTAGGGTATATTTACCAAAGGCAAATAGACTGTTCACTTTGCAGAGGTAGTTGCTCTTTGGAAGGGCTTAGTGAATGTTTTGAAATTTCACTTTGCAAAGAATGCTCAATCAAGTGCATCGAAAATCAAATAATAAAAAAAAACAGCATTTTTGCTTGCACATGTTTGGATAATGGAAGTCAGCAGCACTTCACTTTGTTGGGAATGCTCTTTTCTTTTCTTTTTTTCTTTCCTTTTCTTTAAAAAGGTGTCCCTCCACAATCAAAATACAAAGTGGTAGGTGAACTGGCTTTTGCCTTCATTTGCCCTAATATCTATAACATTGAAATGGGCATTAGATTGTGAAGTCCTTGGGGGAGAAAAGGGCTGATGTAGATAGTGATGGGTTTATATTTTATAAACCTTTGCCTAATATGTGAGTTCTGTATAAATATGAGAATTCGAAAAGTTAGATCAATGAATAAATTGTAAAATTATACTTTGTTCTGTATCCTTTTTGATAGAACCTAACATATTGCAAGCCTTTTCAGCTGGTGCCTGACACTAACTACTGCATAACTTTGCATGTATCTATATTAAATAACTGGTGCTGCCTATGTGGGATTTTTTCTAACATTTCTAAAGATTTTAATGTTTTCATTTGTGTTAATGTTGCATAGTTTAGTAATATCAGCAAATGTGAATTTGATAAATTGATCAAGTACGACTGATTTGTGATTTAATGAATTAATCTATTACTACTGTAATAATGATGATGATAATAATAATAATAATAATAATAATGATATTTTCCATGAAAAGCTATTTCTTTTTCTGTTCATTACAGACATTTCTTGATGTCAGATACATATTTAAAGCTTAGCTACATACATTCAAAGATGGATAAGTAAGAGCTTCAGACCTTTAAAGCTTGCAGATTTAAAATGTTTAAAGCATAACTATTAAAGACTCTAATTATCTAACCGGTGCCAATGGGGAGTGCCACAACAAGCAGCTGATTAGACCATTTCAACAGGTAGTCAGAGGATCAATAACATCTCCTAGCAACAAAGCCACATGCTGAGAGCTCCTGTATCCACAGGGATCAATGACTCGTAGACAGTAGTTAAATGGAAGCTGTATTCCTTCATGTCTATTGTGCAAAATTCACAATGACCTCTTTTCTGTAATACAAATCTGAATTCAATCAATAAATTCTAAATAGTAATCTGATTCACAAATCTAATGTTCAACATTTTCCACATCAGTTTGTGCAGCTTTGTATTCATAATTTGAATCATTACATGCAGACAGGTTTCATGGATAACTATACTGTCATATAATTATTCTTTAAGTAACCCCCCAAGTCTTATACTCACCTGTCCACACTCCTGTGACATTTATGCTTTGCAGCCTTTGGGCAACCATACAACCACCACTGCAAACTACCCCAAAATGATCCCTAGAGACATATGCAGAAAAATCCTATTCATTGCAATTGAGGGGCAATCTATTGTGTATTTCAGTAATTAACAGCTTCTCTATAGGAAGTAATTTAATTGTTTAGGACATGCAGAAGAAGTGAAGGACAGAAGAGTTTGTGTGAGTTGTGTGGTTCCCTGCAGGCTGCACAGTGCGGATCTAGCAGAAACATGGATAAGTAAAGGTAAGACTTTGGGAGGATGAGTCGGGGTGCTAGGGTGGGCTGTGGCCTCACAGATTTTAATTGTGCCCCCCCCAGGTCTCTGAGAGTGCATCCACTGATCCAAGAGCCAGTCTAATGAAGACAGTTGATGTAAAGAGGCACTCTGAGGGGGACAATCCATGTAAGGGGGGTAGTCTGATGGGGACACTTTATGTAAGGGGGCAGTCTGATAGGGACACCTAATGTCAGGGGGCACTCTGATGGGATAATTGATCATATGTAGAGGGACACTCTGATGGGGAATTGATCATATATGAAGGGGCACTCTGATGGGGACAATTGATGTGTGTGTGGGGGGGGGGGGGGTCTCTATTAGGGACACTGATGTATGATGTAAGGGAGTACTCTGATGGGGACACTAATGTAAGGGGGACACTCTGATTGGGGACACCTGCTGTAAGGGTGCACTCAGATGGGGACACCTGATGTAAGGGGGCACTCTGATGGGGATACCTGATGTGAGGGGGCACTCTCACTGGCACCTGATGAAAAGGGGGACTCTACTGAGTAGTCATGATGTAAAGGAGAACTCAGATGATGATTCCTAATGTAAAGGGGGACTATGCTAGAGACATATGATATAAGGGGGCACAGTCCTGTTTAACCTCCCTGGCGGTATTCCCGAGTGTAGCTCGGGGTAAAGTTTCAGTACCACAAGCGGTAACCCCGAGCTACACTCAGGAATACCTTGCAGCGTTGCTCCGGGATCTCTTCTTCACTTACCTTGTCCTGCGCTCCCACGATGTCCCTCCTGCAGTGTCCCCGGCAATGTCCTCCGGCCGATGCCGGCATCTGTCATTGGGTTCCGTCCCCTGCGACATCGGGACGTACGGGGACATTCACTAAATACACTAAAATCACATAGTAAAACATTACTGTATCAAACCATTTCACATACATTTTGTCCCTACTGCTTTGTCCTGTGCCCTGCCTGCATTTTTACCCTTCTTTCTGCCTGGAAACTGAGAAATGTCCATGGCGTCCAAAAAGCGTCCCTTTAGGTCAAAAGCGGTTTTAGACCAGCTAGAGAACAGCGATAGTAAAATAGTAAAAATAGTAAAAAGTAAAAATGTACCGCTTTGAGCACAGAAATATGGACATAATCAGACTGCTAGGGAGGCTAATCACCCTAATCTAATGACAACCTAATACATAATATTGTTTCCCAGCTCGTGACACTGTGTAACAGATTGTCAGTGACTCACACACGACTTTATTTACAAATCTGGTTCACTCAGAATCTGGTGCACCTGTGCTTGGTAGTCAATCGACTTCCAACGTCAGCATTCTATTAAGCGTTAGCAATAAAACCTGTAAGCTGACTGGTTTCTATGCAGCAGTGCACGAGATTCTGAGTGAACCAGTAAATAAACCCCACAGTGTTGATATTGTGCCCCCTGACTTTTTTTTACTGCAACCCCAGATCAGATAGACTAGATCTGGCCCTGGTCTCAATATAAACCTGCCATAAAGGAAAAATGGAGGCCATCATTTTTGAAATCCTTATGAAAAATTCTGTTATTCTGACCCTCTAGGTCACTTTCTGATCAACCAACATAAAAGTAAGAGAGTTTACAATATGTCCCGTCTGCGAAACGGGAGGCAACATGTCATGTTTATGTTCTGACTGTGATCTATAGCTGTATATGCTATTTTGTTTCTTCTTATATTAATAAAGTATTTTTGGAACAAAAAAAAAAAAGTAAGAGAAAAGCCAGCAGTCCTTAAATACATACTTGTTCTGGGTCAGTTACTTAAAGCATAAAGCTAGTGTTAATTCCAATCAGTCAAACATACCACAATCATATTCTCTACACCATAATTCTAAAACTATGAACATTTTAGTACAATAATTAGCTGAAGACTTTAATATTTTTATTGGATGTAGCTTGATCAAACGTGTGATCTCTCTGATCCATGCTCACATTAAAAAATTGTGAAAATGACACGTAAACTTGGTGTAATTGTTGATGTGAGCCAAGCAGACTAAACTGGATGAGACAGTCCCTGGGGACATCTGTCTAAACCACACTGACCTCAATAACAGAAAACTGCCTGTTTCCTTTCAGCAATGTCCTGCCTGTCACATTTCTTATACACAGATCAACCTAATACAGAGTTCAGCAGCTATGTTCTGAAGTGCTGCAGGAGAGATGCAATGCTACTAATGCCAAAAAAACATTTGGCAATGTGTATTATTTAATAAACTGAGAACACACAAAGTAAACAACAGCAATGAAGTAAACACTGGCCCCTAATTAGCGTCGGTTTTAGCAGTTTTCTCCATAAGACCTAAGCCATGGTCAGTGGTTAGGACCAAGGTCACTGGAGAGAACTGCCAAGACCCTGGCACCAAGCCAAAGTTTTGGTGTTAGTGAATACAGTTTGCATATCCTGAGTCTAATAAAAAAAAAAAATCAATGATGAACTGCATACCAATGTTCATTTATCTTTATTTATACAAACTATTTGGAGTTTACCCAGGCTGGGATCAAAGCTGCAGTTAGTAAACAATAGGTTTAGAGGTTCAGATATAAATTACTGTATCACCCAATATATGGCTTCCATCCAGTAGCCAAAAAATTTGCAGACCAACAAAGAAATTTGTGAAAAGAGATTCACAAGAAAGCGGCTACATTATGGACAGAATGCGATACTCAGAAAAATTTCCAAAAAATTATGCTTTATTACACATTAATGATTGACAATCGGGCAATCGCCCTGGTTTACCATCACCTCAGTATGAGACAATACACACAGACCTAAAACCATTTAAAATCACACCAAGACCGGTCTGGATATATATGTGCTGCAAATGCAGTGACAAACTAAGTCTAGAGCATTTGCAGCACCGCACATTGGTTACACTCCCTGTAGGAGGTGTTTTCAAAAAATTGTACCATAGGTATATAATATCACATGCTATGCATATTAGCAAATACAGTTACCACATGGAGAGAAACATAACCCTAAGGCTATACAAGGCAATGTGGGTAAAAAATTGAAAGAAGAAAGGGGATATACCCCAATACTATAATAATGGATTCATGCAGTACAGCCCTATAAAGGCACATGTGGTCGGGGCCCATCTACCCATGGTAGACGCAAATAGTTGCAAAGATTCTTATAGATGAAAGAGTCCCTGTTGATGTCTTTATGGAAAAATGAATGTAGATAGCAGAGACCTGCTTTATATGGTTGGGATCAAAGCTGCACTAATACTACTAAATAAATAGAATATTTTCTTAGCAGTGTGTTACATTATCATTCTGCATACATATTTTACTTGTTATTGTCAGTATACATTATTTGACAAATCATTTTTAGTATTCTGAATATTTTTTCAGTTTGATTTTCTGTGTCTTGATATTGGGTTCCATTCACTAAAGCAGATTGCATGCAGTGTATTTAGATGATCTGACACATTTTTCTCAAATATCATGTGATGCTTAAAATGCCAGTTCACTATCCCTATATGAGGTATTTACCTCAAAAAACAAAAACGCTCTGTAAATACCTTGTAAAACAGCATTAAATTTAATTCACTAGAGAAAATAAATAAGTAAATAAATGTGGTAAATAAATGGTCCAGGCAAGCGATATTTAAGGAATGTAAAGCTATAATAGACAATTTGGAGTAGTCTCTAGCTTTTTGGATCAGTAGGTCCTCAATAGTAATGCATAGAAACCTAAATATGGATAAAAACACAGAGACACTGAAGTTGATTTACTAAAGGCAAATAGACTGTTCACTTTGCATGTGTAGTTGCTCCAGTGCTTAGTAAATGTGGTAAAGGTTCACCTTACAAACAATGCCCAATTACATGCAAGGAAAATTTAAAAACAAAAACTGCATTTTTGCTTGCACATGATTGGATGATAAAAATCAGCAGAGCTACCCCTCATTTACTAAGCTCTGGAGCAACTGCAGTTGCAAAGGGCACACTCTATTTGCCTTTAGTAAATCAACCTCAGTACATGTAGTGAAATATATTTATTTTCTTCTGTCATTTAACCAGATTTGTAGAGATTTTTTTGTGTATATACAAGCATATACATACAGTGCCTTTAAAAAGTATTCCTACCCCTTGACATTTTCCACATTTTGTCATGTTACAACCAAAAACAAATGTGTTTTATTGGGATTTTATGTGATAGACCTAAATCCAAATGAGAATCTGTGGCAAGACACAAATTGCTGTTCACAGACGCTCTCAATCCAATCTGACAGAGCTTGAGTATTTTGCAAAAAAGAATGGGCAAAAATGTCCCTTTCTAGATGTGCAAAGCTGGTAGAGACATCCCTAAAAAGACTTGCAGCTGTAATTGCAACGAAAGGTGGTTCTACAAAGTATTGATTTCAGGTGGGCCACACTTTTCAGATATTTATTTGTAAAAAATGTTGAAAACCATTTATCATTTTCCTTCCATTTCACAATTATGTGCCACTTTATGTTGGTCTATCACATAAAATCCCAATAAAATACATTTACTTGTTTGGTTGTAACATGACAAAATGTGGAGCATTTCAAGGGGTATGAATACTTTTACAAGGCAGTGTAATTTTGCTGCATAAACCTCCCAATCACTCCAAACATAATACAATGTGCATGCATATCACAATGGTCTAATCCCTTGTTAGATCATATGTCATATGTGGTGGGAATACTTTACTGTTTCACAATTATTTTTTGGAGATATCTTTGGTGCAAATGTTTGCAAGACAGAATTGCATTAGGAATAGAAAAGTTTTCTTACAAAGGTGTGGAACTTGACTGATGGTCTGACAGATGGATACTAGAGTGACACTTTCAAGAACATCAAAGAATGACAATGGGGCGGATTTACTAAAACTGGAGCCCAGGGAATGTGGCGCAGCTGTGCATAGTAACTAATCACCTACTAGGTGTAAGTCCCCAGTCACACCATTGTGAAGTGTCGTGAGATGTGATTGTTTCAAATTGCATGACAAGTTGCACCTTATTGTCCGCAATGGAAGTAGTCAAATAAGTGCGACATCAATTTTGAAAGTAGCTCATGCACTACTTTTTCATGTTCAGTTGTGACTTGCATAGACATCTGTGCATTAAGCCGTACAGATGTCTTCCAAGTCGCACTTGAAGCCTCACTGGCATCCGACTTCGAATTCAAGTGAAATTGCACAATTTCAAAGTCAGATTTGGTGCTTTTGCCAAAGCTTCATTGAACTAACTGACTTTAGAAGTTGATTGGTCACTATGAACAGCTGCACCAGATTCTCTGGGCTCCAGTTTTAGTAAATCTCAACCAATGGCTATTCTGTAACAAGAAAAAACAGACATATCCAGAGTTATAGACACAAATTTGCCAAATATCACAGCAAAAATGACTTTGAAGTGTTACTAAAGGCAATGTTTTCTTTTTAATTTTGCATAGAATAATGGAGGGTTAAAACCCCTGTCAGTTTTTTCTTCCATCTGTGTCCCATTTGGGGAGATTTCTCTACTATTAGTGTTTGATGTCATTTAAAAAATGTGGGAATTAATTTTCCTTTCATTTTCAGTGATAAGATATACAGTAACCGAGAGGATGAATCTCCCTAATGGGCGCACTGACAGCTATAAAAATGGGCAGGTATTTTAATCTCTTTCAGTTGTATCCATCCCACTGGATATCATACCATGAGATAAAATACCAAACAGTTTCATGGGATAAATACCACAAATTTTGATGAAATACCGTATGTGGTATTTTAGAAGTGTTTTTTTCGTGAATTGTAAAAAAATTCTTGAAAAATGCTAAGAGGTATTTTACTGCAGATTTTAAACCAATAGATACTGCTTTGTGAATGGAGCCCATTTTTTTTTAGAGACCAATGTTGAAACAAAAAAACCCACAGGAGCCACTTGATATAATGGGTT